ACCTGGCCTATTTTAATGAGGAAATTGAGGTACAGAAAGGCTAAGCAATAGCTGGTATAAGTGACAGAATTCAAAGTAGAACTCAAGCCCTAGTTGAACTGAATCCAAAGACCAAGCTCATTCTATCCAAATAGGCTGCTGTTTCATCAAGGTAATGAGCAATAAGGGCTAATAAATACTGTACTTTCTTCAAAAGAAAATTATTTGTTTTGAAGGCCGAGGAATAACATACTATTCAGTGTTTACAATGACATGAATCATTGTAGGTTTTGAGATATTGCACTATAATTTCCTGAAAACTCCTCTTACTCTCACAGGACTCCTCTGCATTTGGCCTGTGCATATGGCCGTGTGGAAGTGGTCACTCTGTTGGTGAGCAGAAAGTGCCAGATTGATATCAATGACAGACTAAGCAGGACCCCTTTAATGAAGGTATATAGTAGTCAACTCTTTCAACATGGAATGGATTTGATAAATAAAATGGATTTATCTCATTCACATATAACTAGTGGGTGAAACCTATGGAATATGTATTTTGAATTCTTAGAATTTACAGTCTAATTTTTTATCTAACACTGATAGGCTGTGCATGGTCAGGAGGAGGCTTGTTCCATTATTCTGCTGGAACATGGCGCCAATCCAAACATTCAAGATGTCTACGGCAACACTGCTCTTCATTATGCTGCATCTAACAGCGTGACTTCACTGGCAGAAAAACTGCTCTCCTACCAGGCAAATATTGAAGCAATAAACAAGGTACAGGTCAATCAACTTTCTTTTCAAAATAATTGTTTTAATATTGACATAGGTAAGGGTCAATTTTTCGTGTTTGGAAGCTGAAGCATTCCTTGAATGAAAATATTTTGAAATAACTTAATTGTCTAAGATTTTACTTTAAATATTGATACTTTTAAAGAAGCATTAGAGGGTACAGCTTTTTTAGTGCACTTAGGGGAAATCTTTGTGAAATTTGTTCAAGGTAGAACTTTTTCTTTTCCAAAATTTGTTTCCTACCCCAGGGTTGTTTTTTCTAATTAGTGTTAAAACACACACACGCACACACACACACACACACACACACACACACACACAGGAAAAAAAAATCTACCCTGGAAATAGGTTTTATCTTAACACTCAAAGAAAACTAAAGCAACTTACAATAAATGGAAATCTTGCTGATGATGACAATTTTCTTTAAAAGACTGATGTATCTTTCAGTGGCAAGGCTTAAGAGGGAAAAATGGGAAGGGAAAAGGAGAGCAATCAGATAATATGCAGGCCACGTGGAAATTAGGTAATGAGAGAAAAATGCAAAGAAGAGGTTTTGTTTTTTTATTTGGTGGTTTTTCCAGCTTATGTATTAAGACAAAGTGCTCTTCAGCTTTGGGGTAATCATTTTTGGTTTGGTAAAGAAAGTGATTGAAACTTGCCTGAAGATGAATTTTTAGAAGACTCTGAGGAAACCAGATTGGAAGTGAATAGGTGGTGAGAAAGTGAGAAACACTTCAGCAAAGGGTAAAACATGTTGGTAACTGACTTACCACCCATCCTGGCAGAAGCAGCCGCCTAGATAAGAATCTAAAGTCTCCTCTCAAATCTAGACTGTCTTGGTGGTAAGGTGGGAGATAAGGAGCTTATAAATAGCAAAATCAAGTGGGATTTTGAGTTTACTTGGCCCTGTTCTACCCATACCCAGGAAAATTAACTGGAGTTTTAATAAATTACTCTTACCCTTTTGTCTTTTTGTCCACATCCCAAACTGATAAAGAGTATTAGCTGTGTGGGTGAGTGATGCAACTGAAGTGATTGTCTGCTGCACTGATTCTCAGCTAGAATTGTGCATTACAGGGACCTGGGGAAATTTTTTAAAGAATCTGCAAGTGTAGGCTTTCCCTTGAAGATTTTGAGGTAATAGATCTAATAAGGCCTGAACATGTATGGTTAAAAATATTTTTTGAAGCCATGCACAATGGTATGTTCCCTGTCCCAGTTACTT